GAAAAAGTACAGAGACAACTAGCCAAACTAGTGGAAACACATGAACTGTGGACCAATAGCTGAGGAGCCCCCATGGAACTGGACTAGGCCCTCTGGCTAAGCGAGACAGTTGTTTAGCTTGAACTGTTAGGGGGCTCCCCCGCAGTGGGATCAGGATCCGTCCCTAGTGCATGAGCGGGCTTTTTGGAGCCCAGTGCCTATGGTGAGACACTTTTCGCAGCCTTGGTGCAGGGGGGAGGGGCTTGGACCTGCCTCAACTGAATGTACCAGGCTGAGCTTAATCCCCATGGGAGACCTTGCCTTGAGGAGGTGGGAACCCGGGGTGGGTTGGGGGGAAAGGCTGGGTGGTAGGAGGAGGGAAGAGAGGACTCTGTGGTTGGATGTAAAATGAACTGAAAATCTCTTAATAAGAAAAAAGGAAAAAAAAAAAGAAAGAAAGAAAAGGAGGTAACCAATAGGGCCTTGAAAACTAAGGAGAACGTTGGTGAGACTGGGAAGCCCAGGTCCTGTAAAGACCACAGTTTGGAAAAATGTTCCAAATTCCTATCAATAGGTTCCCCGCCCTCTTAGGCTTTCTGTCCAGTTTACTTGTCCAGACTGTGACTAGACTGAATGAAATCCTGAAAGCTCCCTTCTTGAGAAGGGGGCTAATAAGCTCTTTATTCTTTTCTCATGTTTAGCTTTTTCTAGAATTGTCTGTTTAGTTTTGAGTGTGTATTGAAATTGAAATAAAAAATTTACTATCAATGAGAAGTTGTATGTTTTGTGTTGTTTGTGTGCAACCCAGGCTGGAGGGGAAGAATCACTGGAACGCAAAACTTCAGCCGAGATGGAAAGCTGTGTCTGGGCATGGTGGTACGTGCCCGGTGTCCTGGCTCCTCAGAAGACTGGAGGAGAAGGAGGAAGGCATGAGAATGAGTTCAGGAGGTTGAGGCCATCCTGGGCAACATAGAAAGACCATGGCAAAGAAAGAAAAGAAAGACATGTAAGAGGGAAGGGAAAGGGAGGGACGGAAGGAGAAGGGAAGGGAGGGGAGGGGAAGGGAAAAGAGAAGAGAGAGGAAAGAGGGAAGAAAGAAAAAGATCCAGCGTACGATACCTTTAAGGACACTAGATAATCTCAGGAAGATACAGTTCCTTAATAGGGAAACTTCCCATGTTGAAGGCCAAGATTCCCTTCTGGATTCTGACAGGGCTGAGGAATTTGTGACGGATTAGCAATCTAGAATGTCGAAGTATTCTGTTCTGAAGACAGAATGTAAAGGACAAAGACACATGTTTAAAGAAAAAAAAAAAAAGACAACTCTGCAAGCTCTGCTCTTGTCTGTCTAGCCCATTGCTCCTCTCCCTCCCACTGACCTGCCCAGTATCTCCTCATCTCTTCCTTAACCAACATTTTCGTCCCATCTCAACACAATAAGTACGCCGTATGCACATCGAGTCCTTCTCTCCCATCTCCACCCCCATCTTTAAACACTCCCCCTGACCACTTGATTCTTCTTTATGCTAGTACTCAGGTCAACTTTCTGCTTCTTGCCTGCAGGCACTGTTTTTGGTGCACATAAGTATCTTGTTGTTCTAATTGTATTTTTCTTACACTGGTCTTGTTTCCCTCCAAAACAGTCAGCTCCTAGAAGATGGGGATGTGAGTTTCATACATACTTTCAGGCACTCGGTGTTTTGTATGTTAGGGCACCCAAAGTCAGCTTATTTTAATATATGTGATAATGCACCAAACACCATCCTGCGTCACTGAAACCAAACATAAATTAGTGTGTTTCTCAACCTTAAGGAGAGCAATTAACCCAGACAGAAACACAAGGAAAGTGCAACAAAGTGTGATGGCCACATTAGAGACAAGTTCAGGATGCCATGGGAGTAGCGAGGAAGAACACTTAATCCAGGGTAAGAAATGTCTCAGCGGTTTAACAGCACTTGCTTCTGTTTCAGGGGAGCTGAGGTTGGGTCTTAGTACCCACGTCACAACCACTTTTAACTAGGTTTGGAGGATCTGGTGTCCTCTTCTGTCCTCTGTGGGCACACATTGACACATTTTGAACAAACACACAAACAATGAAAAAACCCATATATATATTTTATATATATATAAGAGTCTAGTAGAGACTTAGAACTGACATCTAAACTGAATTAATAGGTAAGGAGAGGGTTTTGGGAAAGGGGAAACAGCACAGCTAAAAACACAAGACTGAAACAAGGGAGGGCTTGTTCAATAGTATGGAAATGACTGCAGGATGTCCAGGGGTTAAAAGTGGATACAAGGAAGCAAGGGGTGAGATTAGAAGGACACAGAATCTCAATTTAAAGTGGAGTCACTGCTTGGAAGCTCGTAGGCTGTCCTGAGCCCCGAAGAGTTATCAGCAGGTCTTAAGGAAGAGGACACACTAAACACTAAGCAAGGCGTAGTGGTGTACACCGTGATGCGCACGTTTGGGACACGGAGGCAGAAGGATCAGAACTCCAAGATCATCTCTGATTTCATAGTGAGTTTGACCCTGTCTCAAAAAAACAAGAACAGCAAAAACAACAGACCACACACACACACACACACACACACACGCACGCACGCACGCACGCACGCACACACACACGCACTATCAGTTGAACGAAATAGAAAGTAATTTTAGATTATGACGACGGTGGCACTGAAAGTGACAACCGAAGCTGTAAGGCTAGAAAGCGGCGAAGAAGTAAGGATGAGAAGGGGTGGTGGCACTTCGGAGGGTCTGCCGGAGTGGCAGATGTGCGCCATTTACCCCTGGGTCCCGACCCTGAGACCTGATCTCTTTGCTGAAAGCCTGGTAAAGAGACAGAGATGGAAGATGACTGGATCTGTGCTATTTGCTGAAGACCCCAGATCCAGCTTTTCCAGAGGCCATGGTTATTCAGCTTTCCTTTCAAGTCTCTGAACTTTGCCAACATTCTTTCAAATAAACATTTGTGGCCTAAATTAGTCAGAGTTCATTTCCATGATTTATAACAATAACAACGGCCACAAAGTGCCTCAATAGACATCGTCGCTAAAGCACATGGTGGATGTGGGGAGAAAGAAAAGGCATCGGGATGGTAGGATTACCAGGACTGAGTAGCCGTGGGATAATGAATACCATCACAGTTCAGTCTTATTGTCTGAGGAAGTGGGGATGCAATTCTGCAGCTAAGAATAACAGAGAATGAGCAAGTGAAGAATACATGAGTTTGGTTCTGGTGAGTTTATTTGGGGCAGGGTTTCTCTGTGTGGGTCTGACTGCCCTGGAACTCCCTCTGTAGACCAGACTGGCTTTGAACTCAGAGATCTGCCTGCCTCTACCTAATTTTGCTGAGATTAAAGGTGTGTGCCATTACTGCCCAGATTGGAATTTTTTTTTTTTCCAAGACAGGGTTTCTCTGTGTAGTTGTGGTGTCTGTCCTGGATCTCACTCTGTAGACCAGGCTGGCCTTGAACTCAGA